AAGTGTTGAAGAATGTCAATAGAATGGCATACCTACATTTTCCTTGGAAGTTTTCAGTATGGGGTATGAAATATGGGCTATGTATAGGATGTGGTTCCTCTCAATCTGCAATATCTGATGACTGTCTTCTTTCCTCTTGGTATTCTTTTACAAATTACTGACACTGTGACATTACTTCCAGCATTGCAGCATAGCCCTGCACAACGTCCTACACTTTCAGCTCACTCCTTTTGCCAAAATACAGCAAACATATCCATGAATTTTCATGGCATGGCCTAGAGACAGCTGAAGTGTAAATCAGCCTGACTCATGATGAGTCATGCTGAATCATGAAACATAATAGTACTGGAAATGTTACTGCAGTTCAAAGCAAAGAAAATCTGTCTTCTGCTCTCCACACTAAGAAGTCATTCATTCTTGACTTGGTCCTGCCTATCGAAGATAAGTCTGTGAAAGAGCTGACATGTGTGCCATGTGTAGTAGTGTTGTGTTAAGCTGGGCAAGCTAAATCTTCATAAACACTGGACTGCTGAGGGCACAGAGTGAAGTTGGAATGTGTTCTTCTTCCATCTCAAAATAGCTTCCCATAAACTGACCTCTTAGAAACAACATTAGCAGAAAAGTCAGTTGTCTAGCATTCTCGGTTGAAGTGGAAGAGCCAGACATATTGACAAGTCATTAATTGCATTAAATTAAGCAATGTACTAAAAAATATAAATAAGTAACTTTAAAAATTTGTATGACTCCTTGTTGATGCCTATTTGGGTAACTTGGATTATTTAGACGTGCTGTTTCATCCAAACTAATTTTAATAGCCCTTCAAGAATTCCTTCAGAATCAGAAGTAGGTTCAGTCCACCTGAGTTTTGTAATTAATTCTTTCTACTGAGACCTCTTCAATCACTATAACCCCTTCAGGAGATAAATTTGCTGTCTATTGATTCTAGGTCTCATGTCCTAAACTCAATGCCATGATTGAGACATATCTGGTCTGTATACTTATAGACCAATTAATTACTAGAGATGCCAATATGACTACATTCTATAGTATTAAATTCCTGCTTTATAAATAGTTTAAATCTAAATCTAGCTTATAAGCAAGATATATGTAATTATGAATATATAGTACCTAACAATATTATAAACTGAGAGCCTTAAAATGCACAAGTTATGAAGTTACCACAATAGTACAGGATAGCAGATTTTCTGTAGCATGGTACATTCTTGCTACTATGATAATGCACTATCCAGCTTGGGCATAAAATTGGCTGGATAAAGAAAAGATTTTTTTATCATTATTTTGATATTTTTGTGTATTTGTATAAGGTTATAAGACTACAATTATACATTCCTGAGGAAATACACATATGTGAATATTTTTAGTGAAATAATTTTAAAAAACATGAGATCTTGTTGTCTAATATAACCTAGAATCTCAGGTACTCAACTTTTTATCTTTCAGTAGCCAAGAAGTGGCCTAAAGGCTTAGATGTTCCAGTGGTTACTCCAGCACAATCTAATGTGTGACCTCTATCCCTTTAGTTTTTATAATGTCCTTATAAAAACACAGTACATTTAAGTATGCTTAAACTGCTACTGGCTATAATTAAAGTTCTGTCAGCTTTTCCATTATAAATCCCTCTTTTCAAGGTTTAATATCTCAGCGGTTTCAATTCCCACTGGGCTAAACTTGATACAGAAGCTGTCAGCATGAATGCAAATCCCTCCTACCTTCAAAAATATTTTCAATTCATAAAGTTGCTAGTTGTTATTAAGCCCTACAGTCTGCAAAATATTTCTGGTTAGCTGCTCTCCCAAAGTGTCTTGTCTCATCTCACATAAATCAAGAATTGTATGTGTCCTAAATTTGAAAGGCAGAAACACGCTGCTGGTGTTTCCTTTTAACTTGTTCTGGGCTATAGATTGAATGTAACTTCAACCTGTATTGAAAACTGTTGACTTCTGACTCCAGATTCTTCCTAATTGATCTGCCAGGATGTGGAAATAAAAAAATTAATTATTCTGATCATAAACTAGTATACCTTATACCTACCTTTCACATACTTCCCTCGTAAATTTGGACTGTGTTCTCTACACCTTTGATTAGAGGGAAGTAGGGTGAGTCTCATAGAAATTAGCAGATATCCTGTTTAATGTGCTTTTCAGTTTAGGGATAAATCTAAAGATACTCATTACTGCTCATACTGCTTATCTTCTACTGCAGTAGTGAAAGATGTATTTCTAGATGGCAAGGAAGTTAACTATTGTTGGTATCCAGTGTCAGGAGAATACCATGCAAGCTGAAACAATTCATGCAGAGTACCTTATAAGTGGTCTTTTATTTTTATTGGTGCCTGCATTTCAAGTTTTTCTGGTGTATTACAGAAAAAAAAGACATTGGCATTTCCCTATTCCATATAAATAAAATAATGTTCATTCTCTTTTAATTTAGCTCTCCTAAAAAGGCTGTCAAATAGTTGATGGTTTAGACAAAAAATGTTGCATTGGACCTCAGTGATCCATTTCATTTTAGGTCATGAATATTACAATCCTGAACAGCAAGTCAGCTTTACACCTTCTCCCCCTCACCTTTAGTTTTCTGAACAGGCATATATCTGGAAATTGAGGCTACTTATGATTCTAAAGAAACAAAAAGGAATCCAGGACTTTTGTCATCTGATTCTAAGTGGCTTTTAATGTTTGGGCTGTTACAAGAAAGGACTGTCTGGCTGACAAAGAGAAGGTGATTTCAGGGGCCAGAGCCGAGTTTCACAGCCAAACAGTGCTAGCTGAAAAAGTAACAAAGGTTTCGTATATCCAGACTTTGAAGTACACTCTTTTCCCTTGGTGTTTTCAATTGCCTGCTCTTGGCATGCTAGTGAGAAAGATCCCCATTCTAGGCAGTGAGCCTAGAGACATGCTGATGCACATAGTATTTATGAGTATCTTTGTAAACTTACGTTTTAATACTAAGAAAGAAAGAAAATAAAGTCTTGCTGCTCTAGGTATGCATCTACTTTCAGCTGTGCTTTGATATATGCTTTATAGATATTTATTTATACACATACATTTTTATGTATACTTTGCCTTTCAAATTGTGTACATGGTGCTTACATTGTTATTTACCTGTGATATTAAAAACCACAACAAATGGCAAGAAGGATGAAGTCATCAGATATTCTTTTGTGATGCCATCACTATTTTGTGACTTAGACCTTATAACAACCTGTAACTTCCACAAAAGCTGTAGACTAAAAAACAAAAAAAACAACAACAAAAAAAAAAACAACAACAAAAAAAAATCAAACCCAACCACCAGATTTTATTCCACTGCAAATCAAGATATTCCATGCCCATTTCACCAATTACAGTTCATGGGCCAAACGTACTATGTATGTAGCAGTACAAATTATCTTTCTGAAAAATGATTGGGTATTCTGTTAGAAGCCAAGGTTACTAGACATTCCTGAATAAGAACTGGATCTGACTTCTTATGTGGCACATAAATTAGCTGGGGAGTAGTTCTGTGAATAGAAAAAGATGTAAGAGATGGAAAGATACATGCACCATAAAATAGTAAGGAGTAGAAAATGAGACAGAGAGATGGTCAGGCCATTTAGAACTAATTCTTAAATCTCAAATAAAACATGCAATCAAGAAAAGTACAGCGTCCTACTTTTGCAAAAATAAAAGTTGAATGCAAAGTGCTGCTGCTGGTCTTGTTTGAGTACAGCCCAACACTGGTATGCATAGGCACTTTGTCTGCTCAGAAGTCTACATCTGTTGTGATTTTCAGTTTGGTTCACTTGAGTTCTTTTGTCTTTCAGGTGCACTGTCTTATTGAACTAAATCCCCATGTATTTGGAAGTCACTGAAAAGAGGCTACATTTGTAGGCAGTCTAACTGTGCTTGTTATTGTTTGTGACTTGAAGTGGATTCGTAAGATGGTGAAATAAATTATTAATGAAAATGCATTGGAAATGTGTTAAAGATACAATTTCTGAAAAATCTAAAAAGAGAGCTTTTTTAAGGGCAAGGAAGCACTTCAGCTTTAGTTTTTAAATATATTTATATACATATAAATATAAATACACACAGAAGCGCATGCACATCCTAACTTTTTAATGTAACCAGAGAAATCCAGCTGCAATCACAGAACTTTGTGATAAACTATATTTTTAGTTACTTTACAGATTAAATTTCTGATCTGCTAATCCATTAATAACACTTCCAATGTGTAGAAGGAATGCACTACATCAAATAGGCTCTATTTTTGTAAATCTCTTTAATATTGGCAAGATCTAACTAAGATACATGCTCCTATTACATGACTTACACAATGGTAAATATTTTTAGATTGATTTCAGCAGAAATACTTAGAAATGACTCTTGCAAGAGTCTCAAGAGGATCTAGTTTTACATTAATTTTATACAACTGAATAGTACCAAAAAAAATGTAACACAATTTAAGCATTTAATCTGGTTACATATTGCCCTTATGAAATGGTAAAACTTGTCTTTTCAGTGTAATAAATGATGTGCAGAAATGTTTTCTGATGTAAATGTAAGATTTTTCTTCTATCAATTGATCCTGGTTTAGTAACTTTGAATCTCTCAATGAAATGGTGGGAAGAGGATTAACATGAACAAATGATTGCACACAAGTTGCAACTGATTTTTCTGTTTCTTGCAAATGCAAGATCGTTAAAATAGAATAATGCATATAAAAGCCATACATAAGTCAGCTCTAGCATTTTTATTTCAGCTCACATCCAAACATTTGTCTGAGATAAAATATACAGTAAAACAAAGACATACCAGCCTGTTCAAACCCTAGCTGGACAAACTGTGTTTTGTTTTATGAGATTTATGGCTTTGAGTGAAGTTAGCTGGTATCCAGTAACATGGTAACATATCTGCCATGTTATCTTTTCTCAAAACTTTTTTTTTTTTTTTTCTCAAAACCATTGCCTATACACATCATTAAGTAACTTAACATGGCTATGTGTCTCGCTCTCTCTCTCCCTGAGACATAGCCTCTATCTTTCCTTGCAGTTGAATACCTATAGGTTTTAACGACTCTGGAAGCCCCCTAATTAAAGCAGTCAATCTCTCAGGATCAACAGGCATCATCATAGGTGATTCATGGTGTGGCCGCAGCTTTCTATCATACATCATTTGGAGACAAGCAGCCTTTTGAACACTCTCTACTAACTGATCAGTTGTTCCAGTAATAGCAAGAGGGTCTCCCCTTTCTAAAGGGTTGAGACCACCTGCCCAATAGGCAACCCTTTGTGTTAAGGACCAGGGAGCAAGACTGTTGCCAGTAGTTAAAAATACTCCTGGTCCCCAATAACCTTCTGCTTCCTTTTCTGTTAACCGAATCTGGTCGCCTCCAGTGAGACTCACCCTCCATACATATTCTGTCCCTGATTCCTTTGGAGAGTGGCTAAAATCCTTTTTCAATTTTGCTAGTTCAGTGGCTGAGAAGGGAATTTCTTTAACATTCATTTGAGGATCTAGATCCTCACTGTTATCAAATGTGTATTCAGTTTTTATCAAAGGACGCAATGGGGCTATTAGAGTTTCTAATTTATCTAGCCTTTCCTTCATTCCTGGTAGTTCCACCTGAGGAAAAGTTTTTTCTCGAGGCAAACTATGGGTGACGGTATGGCTGTCATGCTTACACGTTAGCAGTTTCTTAAAAGCCATTTGCAACAAAGCCGAATTACGTTTCTCTCTTTCTAATTGTTCCTCGAGATTAACTATTTGATTCTGCAGAGTTTTTACCAATTCTTGTGTAACTCTAACCGATTCCTGTAGTGCTTCTATGGTTTGGGGTTCTGCCGAATGCTTTTCATTTTGGAACTCCACGGCAGCTTTTAAAGCAGCCGCGAGTACAGCACAAATAAACGACTTTCCTTTTCCAGCTTGTGTACGAGCCTCATTCTGTAAGACACTAATGCGTTCCGAAACACTCTGCAAATTATGCCAATTTTGGCGTGCCCAGTCCACCCCTGATAAAGAGGGACGAGCACCATGCTTTTCTAAAAGGTCAAATAACACATCTTCACTTTTCTTACTGGCAATACTGTTACTCATTTCTTAATACAATGAAAGATCTATACTAAGGGAGGAGGAGGTTACACATATTCAAAAGCTCAGTTACTCCTCACCGCTCCTCCCAGGGAGATACACCACACCTAAACAAATGCAAATGCTCCAATCTCTCCTCCCTTTCTTTGGGGGAGCACAAAAAATGTGAAGCTAAAGCAACACTTTCTAGGTTTCAATAGAGTAAATAAAATTTCTTGGAGAGGCACACACGTTTAAGTAACAAAATATCACTTCCTCACTTCCCCAAGAGGTGTGTGCATGCAGACACACACACACGCGCGCAAAAGGTTCAAGTTTCGCACTTCAGTTACCAAATAATCAGAGAAGTCTTCCCGAGGAGGCACACACACATTAAACAAAATGCAAGTATTCAAAATACGTCCCCGAGAGGTACACACATAAAAGGTAAAGTTTCAGAATATGGAGCGGTCTTCCTGGAGAAGGACTCACGTCTAAATTTTCAAAACTATCGCTCCTTGCAACGCCAGGAGGTGCACACAGAAAAAAATTTTTCAAACTATATGTGGAAGGACAACACTCACAGCGGGTATCCTGCCGACTACGCCATTAAATAAATGTCTCGCTCCAATTTATAGGAGGGAGAGGAGGATCTTTTATTATCTATATACCCAGCATGAGATTAGGAAGCAACGGTTCAAATGCTGGTCCAACCAGTTTATTACAAATCTTAATTAGGGAAATGGGGAAGGGGAGGACGGACACTATTGTGAATTAGGGTAATGGGGAAGGGAAGGAGGGCGATAGAAAAGATAGAAAAGAAGAAGCAAGGAGTCTTTATAGGAAACAAGAGGGACATAGTCACCACCATGGATCCAACGTGGTTCGTAGTTCAGTCTTCGATCTTCAGTAGCGGTGGGTCGTCGGGCATTGTTGTTCTATTGATGACGATGACAATGACCATGGCAATGATGGCCCCTTTTCAATGGTTTCAAAGTGGTTGAGTCAGTTGTCTTTGCAGTGACAGCTCAAATCCAAAAGTGGTTGAGTCAGCTCTCCTTTGAGTGACAGCTTCTGGCTCTGGGATCTCAGCAGGAAACTCCTTTGTTCTTATCTTTCTGGCCTTGCCAGCAGATAAGAGGAAGCAGGGAGGCATCAACTTGTATCTTGCCTTCGCAGCATACAATGGTATCATCCCCCAGCCTTCCATAGCAAACAGGAGTTATTTGGTCACAGGCTAGATCTTCTGCCAGTAAACAGTCCTGAGCACTATCTTCTGAAGGCAAACAGCTCCAAAGATGTAAAATTGTCCACACAGCGATGTTGATTGCCACACAACACCCATCACTTGCCTCCTCAACAAAATACCTCAGGAAGCAAGCTTTGAGCCAAAAAAACAAACAAACAAACAAACAAAGAAGGATTCTCACACTATGCAGTGCCCACTGAGGCTTTTCGACACAGTGATCCTTGTGGGTTCCTTCCAACTCAGGATATTCTGTGATTTCACGCTTAACTGAAGTAGGTCTGATGTTGTAATACTTCTGTAAGTAATCCTGGCACGTTAGAGTATGAGCTTATATTCTCTGTATAGAAATTTATGGAGATTAGGTTTTCTCTATTTTGTACATTTTACAGAACTGTGCTTCTAAGACTTCACTTCAACCTGCTGATCCTGTGTGGCTGGAAACTTGAATGCTGCTTGATCTCCATTTAAGCTAGAAGTGTATCTTTCAGACGGTCTTGAATCTTACAGCTATACCTGGCTTCCAAATAATTGTGTACACTGGGCTTACATAGTGGTACAATTACCCTTATGAGTATGTGTCCAGAATATCACTGTGCTCCAAATTCCAGATCAGTATTTTAGTGATTACCAACATCATTTAAATGTTCCAGGGAAGAGATAGTAAGAGATAATAACCTAAGATGATTGTTTTCATATATCCTGTGAAAGCAATTTGTTTTTTTCAAACTATGTTTGTGATAACACTGGACACATTCAGACACTGGTGTATTTTAACTCTGTTCCTAGAAATCATAAACAGTATTCATTGTTCTGGCTCAGAGATGGGAATGAATCAGCCAACTTGTTTTGTTTGCCCTTAGGCCATGGTAAAGTGTTGTAAAGCTCACAAAACCAAAGCAACAATGAATAAGTCATTTATTCCATGTTTCTAGAAATTAAAAGCAGTTTATTTTTCCATCCTAATTTTTACCCTTCGTTTGTTTTCTCATATGACTCCAATAGATAGGGCTTCATAGTTACATAGTTACTGATGCATTTTTCTGAGACGCAGTTTTCTTGCAAAATACAGTAAAGAAGTTGGTTTGAATTGGTAACAAAATCTCACACAGTCTGACAAGTAAGGAGGCAAGGAGCAAAAGGAATTGAAAAATTGTTTAGGTTCAAAGGCTGTGTTTCTGGGTTAACAAAAAGAGTAATAAGGGAGTATTAACACATTTTAAAAACAAAGCAAAGGAAAAATGAAGAAATTGAAATAAGTAGGGATTGTTATATATATATATACAAATAAATGACTTGTCTGATTTGCGGTTCCAATTTTGTTTGGTCGCTGTATTACTTGCCTTTTTTTACTATGAAAAGATTACTACAAATGATAAAATTCCAAGAATCATTACTTCTGGCATTTGTGTGTTCAAATTGAGTACTTAATTACAAAATCTCAGATGCTTGTTTTCTACAACTTTTACCTTATTAAGGAAAAAGTGCATGAATATCTGCATCATAAAAACGAACACAGTCTTTTAAGGCAACAAGCGCAATATGTAACATCAACTTGTTTTTTAAAACTGATTAAAATTATTTGCTACGCACTTTTCAAACGTGTAAAATATGATTCCAGATTACAAACAAATGTGCATTCTGCACACAGCAGATAAATTCACTGGGATCCCAAATCATTAAAAAGTAATTTATAAGCCTGCAAAATTCAATTCAGTACATTAAGTTTTTCTGGTTAAAAAACACTTACAAAGCCAGTATTCCAAAGGAGGGGCTGGGAGATGATCACACCTCTATTAAAATCAAATGTTTAACTTATATAAGGGATTATATAAGTGACAAACTGCAAAGATACAATGGACTTCATATTTCAAGTGATGCCCCGTTTTTATTTAAAATGCATTGGGTATGCCAGTGGTTGCATGTGTAATTCACATTAAACAGGATTAGACCTGCCATATTGAACTTTCTGAAAATTCCCAGGAAAAATTTCTCTTTCTAAACCATTGTTTATTTCAGCAGAATCATCAACTTCACTTTTGCATTACTTCTAACTTTTTCATAATTTTGCATGCTAGTAAACAAAATTACCTGCCATGGGATTCATATTTTTTACCTACAGATATAAAACACCTCTGTTTGCAGTGAGTAATCCAACACTGCAGTCCTCCTCCATTGCATCAGTAAATGTATTTATAAATAGAGCAGACAGACTAAGCAAAGCAAAGGTTCATCCTCTGCCACAATTGATCCTAAACCTATTGAAAGCAAGTGAAAGATTCCAGATGCCTCCAGTCAACTTTGAGTCAGATCCCAAGTGGTCTTAAAGAAACTTTGTGTTTCTACTGCTAGATTTCTGAAGTTCTTCCTTAAACCAGTGAGATATTTCACTGATTTGCATTGCTATAAGTGTCTGACATATAATAAATGTCACTATAAAAACTGTCATGGGCAAGATATGAGAACTGCAGCTGACTTTCAAGGACCACTCTCTTGGTGGAAGAAAAAGTGTTCATCTCCTTTGCAAGCACAGTACTATTGGAAAGCACTTAACTTGCTTTTTCCCTTGCTCCAGCCTTGCATATTTGGCTAAAGAGAAGAGCAGGACACAAAAAGCTCCCACAGTTTTCCTTGAAAGGGGAACCTATACTGAAATCCAAGGAGAGGGTTAAAAGGAGGGTTAAAACTGTAAAGGAGGAGAAGGGAAGATAATTGCTTAAGGTTGAATTGTGGAAGAGAGGCTGAGGGAATGAGCAGGAATGGAGTAGAAAAATATCCAGAGATTGTGGAGCCAGCAGGCAGCTGACAAGGTAAAACAAGGTAAAACATCAAAAGCCAGGCAAGTCATACCTAAAAGACAATCACACTACGTGATATGGTGTTTGTACTAAACTCAAGTTAAATAATCTGTAAAAAATTCAAAAATCCCAAATACTGGCTGGAGGAACCAGGAGACAAGTCATTTGTCATTAAAAATAATAGGGGAATGTGCTTTGTTATGTGTTGTATGTTGCCATTTGTTCTGATTAAATGCCCAGAAGATTCCTTATAGTTCCACAAATACTGCTAGTCTAGAATATTGCATGCATCAAATAACATTGAGTGTATGCACAAGTTACCTCTGCTGAGAAGTAATCTTTGGCATCTTACCCCCTTGTCTCCAGAATGCTTGTACAACAAGCATGGATCATTGCAATGATCAATTCTGTATCACCACTACACAAGTAGTTGAACATGTACTGCTGTACAGGCAGTAACTTCTGGCAAGTGAGGGAGAGGATCATGCAGACTGCCCTGGAAACTCTCTTGCTGCTAGAGAAATCATTGAGTGGAATTGTACCTTCAGTGACTTTCTGATCAGAAGTCCCTGACTTCAGGAAATGTGCTGATGCTCTGATGAACTGAGAAGAAATATCAGCCTTATCTGTAAGTCATCATAGGAATGATGGTGGAGGGAGAAATCTTAGTGATATAGTTCTAGAGAGAAAAGAGACCTTATGGAAATTGCATTTCTGGTTCCTTGATTGGTGCATTTCAAAACAAGTCTCATTTAGGCACACCTAAGCAACAAGGTAAAGAGCTTGCCTTTAAGTATAAACTACATTTGTGTCATGGTTTTATGATTTTTGGTTATCAGTATTCCACATCATAATATCATGTAGTGCACTGGGAGTTAAGGTGTTGATGCTCCTGTTCTGGGTACCTGTCCAGGAGAGAAGAAGAACTACATACCCCAGGGGGCTTTGCAGTCAGAAAGGAGATACAACTCCTGGCGAGGTCA